CAAAAAACCATTTCTTATATTCTTCTAAAACACCTGAAACAACTAATTTATAGCAACTTGTATAGACTATATTTTTATTGAAGATAGCTATAGCCACCTGATTTCACATGTAGACACAAAGTTTGGAAACTTGGATTATCTCCTTGTAAAATATACAATAAGCTCTGCACAGAAAATTAAAAACTCTTCAAATTGGAGATTTGATTTTAACTTGTTTAAAAACAAACTGCTAAAAAAAGAAGTTCTTGAAGAATTATTAGAAGAGGACACCCTATCAAACTGGAACATGTGCAAAATCAACATCCAATCAATAATAAGAGTATTTAGAAAAACAAAGTTACCTGAGAATAAAATTGTAATGCTGAACAAAAAGCTCACTAGCCTAAAAGAATCAATGACCAAAAATACAACAAGAAGCTCATATACAAGCTCTCTGAAGGAGCTAAATCTGCAATTACAAGACGAAATAACTGCTCTAGCAGAAAGGTGATTAATAAGATCCAAAGCCCAGTGGATCAAAAAAGGAGAGAGGTTAACCAAATACTTCTTTTCCAGATATAAAATCAGGTACTTACACTCTGCACAATTAGAAATCAAGCCCCCAACAACAAATAGCAAAATGAAGAAGATATCCTAGAATATATAAGAGATCAATATGCAAAAATATACGAGCCAAAAAAGATCAATCTCGAAGTGGCAGAAAAAATCACTCAAGATCTACCTGAGATATCTCAAGAGTTAAATGAGTTATTAACGAAACCAATCACTTCTAAAGAAATTAATTATATTATACAAAATCTTCTAAACAACAAATCTTTGAGCTTAGATGATTTATTCTATGAGTTCTACAAACTAGTAGTCGAAGAAGTCTCCCCAGTTCTAGAAAAAGTTTTCAACAATGTTCTTAATACTAGGTCACTTCCCATATCATAGTGCAAAAATTTAATTGTTCTAATCCCAAAAAAATCAACAGATCTTAGTAATATAAACAATTGGTGCCCCATTTCTTTGGTTAACTCTGATGCCAAGATTTTTATAAAAATAATAGCCAACAGGCTCAATATGGTTTGCAGTGAAATTATACACAACCACTAGCAAGGGTTCTTACAAAAAGGTCGATTACTAATGCTGCTTTAGATATTATAACCACTTTACAAAACCAAACAGATAGTACAAAGCAACTAGATACTTTTTGTTAATCAACAAAAAGCTTTTGATCAGATAAATCATAACTTTATAAACTTTGTCCTTAACAAGATGAGCTTCGTACCAAAAGTAATTAACCTAATAAGAAATCTCTTCTTAAACCAAACTGCACATATTCTGGAGGGCAAAATTCTATCTACTCCAATTAAGATAAAAAGAAGAATTCACCAAGGAGACCCCTCTTTCTACTACTATACATTTTAGTGCTAGAGCCTCTACTTATACAATTGAAAAGAAATCTTTGAGAAATCCTACTAGGCAAACAATTTTTTAAAGTAATCACCTATGCAAATGATCTAACACTAGAGATCAGCTCACTGACAAACTAGGAAAACACACACAACCTCTTTGCTACATATGAGTTGGTCTCTAATACACGAGTAAACAAAAATAAAACCAAACTTGTTCTTTTAACTAGTATAGCCAAAAACGTGAAGCTAACTGAAAAGAACCTATATAACAAAATACAAGAACAAGACAGAGTTAAAATTCTTGGCTTCGAAGTCCAAGTTAATAGCACTTCTAAAAAGAACTCATGGCCTCAAACAATAACCAAACTCAAAAATAAACTAAATAATCTAAACAACAAAAACTTTTTCTTTAGAGAAAAAATCCTAATCACCAAAATACTAATCCTCTCCCAAATATAGTATGTTGCATACTTAGCCACTCCAAGCAGAAAACAGATCACAAAAATCAACAGAATAGTTTTGTTATAGATTAAGAACTCTTCTAAGATGCTCTCAAAATACTTGGTCTTCCAATATACATACGAGTTAAAAGGGCTTCAAGCCTCGATAATAAAAGATATACTAGACGCAAGACTCATTACAGTCTAGCAAAGACTTCTCTCTGCAGACTCTTTATGAGCCAGCTTTGAAAGAGACAGAATTACTGAAATATTATATAACAAAAGAGGAATATTGCCCAAATAGGCCTTGAGAAATGGCACAACCAAAGCTTGGCTCAAGGAATGGAAACCCTATTTAAGTGTTTGGCAGAGAATCAAAAGAGTAATCATGGCAGACTCAGAATAGCTATGGAAAACTGAAGAACTCAAGATCAGAGAAACCACCAGGAATAACCTTACAGTAAAAAAGATTGTTGAAAGTTTTAAAAAAAAGGCCACATACCCAAGCCCAAGCAAAAAACAATACAAACCAATTCAAATAGATAGGTATGAAGAAAATCTGCAACAAAAGAAAGGATATACTATGGCGCTTATTCTACAGAGTACTCCTCCTAGAATACTGCCTACATCATATAAACCTAATAGTCAACAGAAACTGCCCCTGGTACACAGAAGTACTACAAACTCCAGAACACTTTGCTATAGACTGCAAGGTTAGCAAAGAAATCTGAAAAAGAGCCTACAGGCTCCTGAACACAGAGCAAGCTAAACCCATTCCTTTATCTACAAAGAAACTATTTCAAGCATCAAATATAAATAACCAAAAAATGAACCATGCTGTGCTGTGGTTATATACAAATATAGTTTATAAAATCTGGTACCAATATACCATATTTAGGTGGGGTGGAGAAACAACAATAAAAAACATCATTTCGTAGCTAATTATTCCCTGTCTAGTTAAAGAAATTAAAAATCTATAGGTAGGGATTGTAAATAGTAATTCTAAGATTAAAAAAGTATTTAGCTTTCTATAGTGTAATTAACTAATATATATGATTTAATAAAAGAGCACTACATATATGTACTGCTGTGAGTTTAGCTAGTACTAAATAAAAAAAAAAAAAAATTACTACATTTAACCAAAGAAAATTACTTCTTTTAATTATTTTTAGAGTTAGAGTATGAGTATAAAATTTTTTTTTTATATATATATAATATAATATAAGATTTTAATCTTAGTTTTTATAAGGTTTTTAGAAATTCTAAACATTTTTATTTAGAGTATCTAATCCTATTTATTTAATATATTTTTAAGATATAGCATCCTGGTAATTTTTTTTCCTAGTCCCAGGCGGACCACTTAAATTAGGTACCAAAAGTATATACACGTGTGGCTAGTTGTATCCTCATGAAATTGATATAATATATATTGTGATTATCTAAATAAAGCTAAGTGCCGAGGGACCTAAGTGGTCACTTTAATATTAAAAAAAAAAAAAAAAAATTTTTCCCTAGTAAAATTAGCAATTCTTTTGCTTTGGCCATACAATGCATTTGCCTAGTTTACAACAATTAAAATACCTGCGTCTTATGTATTAAATATTTTTTAGCAATCACGTGATATTAATTAAACAATATGATTGGAAATTTTGTGGATCATCCAAATGAAGCCCTCTGATTGGCTAGTGTTGCCGGATGGACATTCCACTTTAATATATAGCACCCTGGTAATTTTTTTCCCCAGTAAAATTAGCAATTCTTTTGCTCCGGCCATACAATGCAATGCATTAGCCTAGTTTACAACGATTAGAATACCTGCGCCTTATATATTAAATATTTTTGGCAATCACGTGGTATTAATCAAACAATATGATTGGCAATTTTGAGGATCTTCCAAATGAAGCCCTCTGATTGGCTGGTGTTGCTGGACGGACATTCCACTTTAATATATAGGATTAGGATTATGATTACTATAATATACAATATTACAATATTGCGATACTACGCATCATTTTATAAAAGTTATATAGTAACTTAATGAAGTCGCAATTAATATTAAAGCAATACTAACAGTTAATTAATAAAAAATTTAATACTGTATTTTGCAACTTTTATTTTTTAAATATAACTATATATTAATAGTTTAAACATCTTTTTGAACAAAACCTTTTACAATTTTAATATTTTTGGCAATTCGACAGTTAACCAAAATAAATTTCAATTTTGTCAATGACGAAACCTCTAGGATTCGTTTAGCAACTAAATATTACTGAAAATAATAACAACCACAACAATATATAGCTATTTTTTATTGATTAATAAAAACTGATTTATGATTAAAAGAATAGATTTGGATATAAAATACTTTTAATAAACGTGTATGAATGAATTTTTAAATGTAAAATGGTATAAGAAGTACAAGAAGTATAAGAAAGAAGTAAAAAAGATTTCAATAAAAATTTCATCTAAAAGAAACAAAAACAAAAAAAAAACAACCAAAAAAAGTGTAGTAGAATAACTTTAAAAGGTAGAAAATTCATTTACACCTTTACAAGTGATAAACGATAGACTGTTCACCAAACAAAAATTGAGACATGTATTTAACAGCTTTTTGCGCACCACCATTTCTTGATATAGGCCATGTAATAGCGTAATTATGCATATTATCTTCTTCAACCACAAATTCAACACCAATATTTTGGCTTCTGGCTTTTTCAACGAATGATGATACGTCCTCCAGGAATACTTCGTAAGAGCCAACACATATCCACATTTTAGGTAAACCACATAGATTACGGTTGAATAACGGGGATATTAGAGGACATGTTGGGAGTAGGTTAGAGTTACCTAGGTAGTTTGCTAAACAGACATCGAACCAATACTTGCTTATCAAGTCACAATCATAATTTGTTTTGAATGTTTGTGAGGTAGTGAGAGCCTATTATTAAATAAATATATATAATAATGAAATGGAAGTGTGTAATATGATATGGTAATATTTGGAAGATAATTTACCGAGAAGCAAGGAGAAATAAGAAGCAAGCTTGATGGTAGAGGAACAGTGTAGGCTATTGGATTGTTAAGAAGTTCCAAGGCAGCTATTATGGCAATGTTTGCACCAGCACTATCACCAGCTATTAATTTTAAGAATAAAATAAGAAATAATGATACTGACTAAAGATACATATATATATAATTCAAGACTATTTTATATACCAAAAACGATCTTGGACGGATTAATTCCTTTTTCTTCGACTAACCATTGGTAACAATTCAAAACATTGTCACGTGCTGTTGGAAAGGTATGTTCTGGTGAAAGACCTGCGGACAATATTTTACAAATTGTAAAAATGCAATGAAAGATGAAATGTGGAACATTAAAATACAAATAGATATTAAATGCTATAATACCATATTCTAACGATAATATGTGTGTATTGGCCCCGTGACTAAGCATCCATGCTTTAATCCACTTTACAAAAGTTACCAAAGATATCAAAGGTCCACCAATATTAAAAGCACCACCTAAAACATTTAATAGAAACATAGCATAGGTAAAGTTAATAAATTTTGTTGATATTTTTTT